GATTTTGAACCGTAGATCGACTTCCCAAACACCAAACTATATTGTCCAATCTTTGCTTCAACACCACAAGACATTCTAACCATGGTAATACCCCCAGGGTAGATGTTCTCCTCCTCCCCCCCTAGACGCCGCACCGCTACCAATGAGATGGTCGCTGTTCTTGGGCACCGAGTGGTGCCCATAGTTAAGTATTGATGTTCGCCCACCCGTGACAGCAAAAACCAAGTAAATCGAACCGTTGTATCAGAAGTTCTGGCCTCCCGACCCCCTGTGACCTCGCTGTGGCAATATCTTTCTAACCGTTTATGCTATAACTTTGGGACGAATGGACCGATTCCTTCAAAAATTGATTTTGAGCGTCCTATATATTTATAAATGTTTGTCAAATAGTCAGAACCCCCAAAATCGGGCTCCTTCATGTTGGCGAAATCACCTCGCCGATTTACGTTTTATACACTGATTCCATTGAAACGACACCCAGCAATGTGATTCATTCATTCTAAATCACAAAACTCGCAAAGTTACCAAAACACCCCCAAAACACCCCCTAACCCCCTAACAAACCAGAAACCAGCACCTGCTAGGCCTACCCTAGCATCCCTACTATTATTTCCCTATTTTCCCCGATTTTTATCGCACCTAATACTACCCCAGTACACCCAGTATCATCCCCAGTACCCAAATCCCAGCCAAAACCCACCCAATTCATGTATACAGCACCCTACCAGCCTGCTACCCATCTACCCCCACCCCCTACCCATTTTCCTACCCCCTATCCAGCACCCCAGCACCCCATCCCCGCCCTAGCAACCCCTACCGGGTCCCCAACCCGCCCCTAGAACCCACCCGGTCACCCAAAAGCCAGCTAACCAGCCGGGCCAAAGCACTACAGGTCGGGCCACATCTAAAATGAACATTCTAGTGCCACACCTTCGAGCACAAAGCAGCCTACCCATTTTTATCCTTTTTGGGATGTTCTGAACCCGGCATTTATCACAGAAAACAAAAATGTGCAATGCAGGCATTTGTTGATATCCCAATTGGGCCAGTGCAGCATTGTAATGGCAGCCATTTTCTGGCTCAGTGTGGCAGTGCGTACTTTACGCCAGACATTACAATGGAGCTGGACGTCCTTGCCGCACTTCATTATAATGGCACTACATGGTCTGGTGACCCTCTACCTCGTATTGATGACTCGTATCAACTTCTACAACCTTTGTTCCAGGTACTTGCAGGTATGTCTCGATGATGCTTTGAAGCTAAAAACTGTGTTCACCTGCCATTCTGATTACTACTAATTCTGTGTCATGTTGTTTGGACTATGCAACGCACTCGCAATCATAACCTTCCAAATGATGATAAATGATATCTTCTGAGATCCTCTCAATAAGTTCGTGATGGTCTACCTCAACGACGTTATCATTTACTCACCAACAGAACAGGCCCATGCTGAACACGTCATCTAGGTCCTCTGGCAACTTGACGAGCACAGTCTTGTCCTCAACAAGGAGAAATGCAGCTGGGGCTGCTCGTCGTTATTTTACTTTCATGTCTCAACAAGGTATTCACCTTAATCCAAACAAGGTGAAAGCAATACACACCTGGCTGTTATCATCTATTATCACCCAGGTTTGAGGTTTCCTTAATATCACCGGTTATCATCGCCGCTTCATCAACAGTTTTGCAAAGATCACTGGTCCAATTTGTGACCTTCGTGGATCGCCTGGAAAGACCAAGCCCGTTAACCAGTCAGTTGATTGCAAACACGTGTTCCAAGAGTTGAAAAAGAAACTTATGTCAGTGTCCGTTCTCAGTTATCCTGAGCCATGGAGGCTCTTCATCGTTGACTCTGATGCATCTGCCGATTGCATTGGCAGTGTTTTTCCCATTTAATTTTATGTATCATATTATGTCTTCACCAATCGGTCGCTGTTTTTAATGAGGGGAGGGAGTCGGATGATCCTGCATGCTTTTCGTATTCACATACTTCGACGTGCAGATTGTCTATTGACCTGGTCCACAACAGTTAGCCGCTAATCATTGCACTCTCTTGTCGTATGAATGAGTACGTACCCGATTCCGAGACGCCAGGTCCTCTCTTCGCGTATCAGATAGACAAAGAAGAGCTCTTCAGTGATGATACCAGCGACGAGTCATAATCGTTGGAAGAAGCTAGGAAATACCAAGATCAGGACAGGTTAGCTGTGTTCAAGTGTCTGGAAGAGACGAAGAAAACCTTACACATATATTCTAGCATGGATATTGTTGTCGAGCCCAACGAGCAAGGCTACTTCAACCATAAAGGTAACCTGTACAAGTATATCGACAATCAGACTTCCCTTCACATTCCCACTTCACCTTGCGATGCCGAAGACCTCGTTTGTGAGATCCACGTCGACATCAGTCACCTTGCTCAAGACGCGACGACACGTGCTGTACGCGAACACGCTCACATTACAGGACTCAATGATGTTGTTGAACTAGTGGTACACACCTGCGATCACTGTCAATTCACGCGTAACCAACCTGGTCCATCTCAAACACTCCATCCTCTCCCTCGACACAATATGTTTGAGCATTGGTCCCTTGACTTCTGACTTCATTGGACCGCTCCCAAAATTATGTGCAGGGAACATGTATCAGCTCAATGCAATCAAATCCACAACTGATCAAGTCCTATCCGAGCCGCTTGAAAGACGCTCTTTGAAGGCCGTCCTCACGATGATGCAAAAGATCATCTGCACATATGGAAAGTCAACGTCAGTACTCAGTGATGATGAAGAAGAGTTTCTGGTGTACAATATTCAGAACTTCCTCCAGCGAATGGGCATCAAACACATCAAAACCTTGCCATACCATCCGCAGACGAATGGATGTGTCGAGAAGTTCAATCAGCAGTTGAATGAGATGCTCCACCATCTCATGGCGCTGAACCATCAGGATTGCTAAGACAAATATCTTGACAACGTATTACTCGCCTATCATGCACACGTCAACCAAAGTCACAGAAAATCACCTTTTTTCCTCACCTATGGCTGTAACCCTTGTCTCCCATCCAAACCAGTCCTTTTCACTCTCCAGCGTCCTTCTATCGACTAAGAAATCGCTGCTCTGCAGCATCATCAGCTCAAACACGTTCAACATTTAGAAAGATTCTATATAGAAGTGAACGTGAAGGCATCAAAGTGGTTGCAAGACAAAGCACAGAGGCATGAGAACAGTTACATGGAGCACGGTTTGAAGGTTGGTGAGCTCATCCTAAGAAGGTCAGAAGCTCTCATGAAGCTTCATCCGTGTTGGGACGGTCTATTTATCATTCACGATATCGCTGACAATAATACGTTCCAACTTTGCACTTGGAGTGACTATGTCCTCCGGCACCTCTACGACGGGGCTCACCTCCAGTGATATCATTCCCGTTCTTCAGTCGACCCTTCACTCTGGTATGCATCTTCTGACTTATAGTGCAAGCATGCGCACACTCAATGACTCCTTCAGATTCAGAATTGTCGCAATAGTTCTACTTAGTGAATGATACGATATGTATGACTATGAACATTGTTTTGTACAGTCTATTTTTCTTGATTGTTTTACTTACAATATTCAGGAATAAAAATCGTATAACTCTCTTACTTACAAAAATAGGTTTTTGCTTTGGATTCCTTTCTTGTTCGTTTTGGTACTATACTATGTTACTTTGCAGGTGCAAAGAACTTACAACTGTTTCGGAAAAGGTTGGCAGTCGCGCGCGAAAAAAAGTAGTTCTACAGAGAAAATAAATGCGGCGGCCACACACACCACAGAGACTGCTGGTTCAAACCGCGCTCGTGTCACTTCATCTACAGGGTCAATTCCTTCTCCATGCTGCTTTCTTTGAGCCGCCGCTCATGGTACATGCTTTAAAAAATTATACATTACTCCTGACAGGTATGAAAAAACATATTGTGTCATATCTGGTGTGATAACAGTGTGACCACAATGCCGGCAGTAAATAGATACTTCATTACGTAGGGTGCGAGTCGAACCCGCGACCCCTACGATTGCCTCTTACGTTCAGTGTTCTTACACGAAGGAAGTTCTTTTTTTTTGTAGAACTACTTTTTTTCTCGCGCGACTGCCAACCATTACTGAAACAGCTGTAATGAGGAGATGATGTTGGTCGTTTGGTATTGGTCGGAGATTGCACGCCGTTCCTACTTCATTCAAACTGTATACGATAACTGCGCCACAATATTCTTACTCATACGTTGAGGTTATGTGACACAGTATAAGACTGAGACATTGGATACTGTGGATCTCTGAGACATTGTCGTCACGACTGTTCTTGCATGATAGTTTACTGTATTTGATATAAATATACCTGAGGAATCGATATTGGGTTCCCAGAATTCTCCTGATCTGTTTACGTCTACCGCCTCAGACTCGGAAGGACGGACAGCAACAACAGTTAAATGTGGCCATGTGGCCTTTTGAGCCAACAATGGCCATGTGTCTAGCGAGAAAAGATCAAAGTTAGCAATATCATGAACCAAAGAGTTTGAAAGCAATATTCCGAGTGAAAGAAGGGATCACAGGGACAACTGTGACACATGCGTGGTTAGGCAATTCAGTAAATAAATAACAAAATATAGAGCTCAAGATAGAAAAATCAAAAATTCAAAGGATCCTAAGGATTTATGTAATGATCATAACTATATAATAAAATAAGCCAAGGTCATTTAACAGTCACAGTTCGTCCACCACGTCATACTTGAGGAAATACCCCACAGGCGATTATAAATACGTGAACTGAGGGTGATACACACCGAAAGAATTAGCACAGCTGGATATGCATAAGAAAATGTGTTCAACACACCTTCTGTTATAATTGTACCTCGACCTGTATGACTCACCATCCAATACTATCCTGTCTCCCCTTTGCCATCTCTGCACTCATTTGTTTCACAATCTTGTCCTGACTAATCCTCCATGCCCTATCCATCTCTCCCTTCCCCTGCATTGTCGCCGCATCTTCTGGCAAAATCAATGTAGAATAATGGAACAGTGCTTTCACACGAGGGGCATGTATGAATTGACGATCAAGGTGAGATCACAGCTTTTTGTTGAGGATGTGTAAATGCATTTATGTCACGCGATTCGGGAAAAAACTTGGACATTAACTAGAAGGGGGTAGAAGCATGGACTATTTGGTTACTTACTATGAGAAGTTATTCAGAACAAAGACAAGATAGAGGGGTAGATGAAAGAGTACATACAAGAGATGGAAGGATGGCCAAATCTGCACCTGAGCTGATGTCATTATCCAACTATAAACAAGTCTTCGACTGCACGCCATCTCTTGTGGTCGGTCTTTCTTCGCCCGCCACCACATACCAATCTACTATAATTCTCTAAGCTATGGCCTTTCAGTTCATCTTAGTGCTTATCAACCTCAGCATTCCCCTGCTCACCCACTATGGTTATCTACCTAGTGAAGACCAAATCACCAGGTTCATCGATTGACTTGTCACAGTATCTCAGGCAACTATTGACACCTGTCCGTCTTCGCACAATTTCAGTCACAGTGACAATCTACCCAATGATCTCATTTTAAAGAGTCATATGCACGAAGATGGCTTAAGCTCTCCCAGCCTGATAAAAAGTCTTGCAGCAGAAGTTGTCACGACCGGGCAATTGGGACTAGGGATACCCCATGGCTCAAGACAGAAACTAAAGAGAAAGTCAAAATAAAAGGTAGAGGTTTATTGAGACTAAGTAATTGGCCGAGAATAGATAATCTACAAAGCTGGAGAAATACAGGAGGACCTAACTACGTATTTATACAGATTTAAGACCACGGGTTGAGTAGGTAGAGATAAACAAAGACAAATATTTAATGCAATCAAAGGAGAAGATAAAATATTCATACACTAAGATTGTGCCCTTTGGAAAACACTGAGGAGAATGTGGAAACATTCGTAGAATGTAAAGAGAGAATCCTGAATTAGGACGAGACGATATGATGCAAAGTAAAGTGTAGGTAGAAGGAAAAACTGATCTAGAGGACAATGGATACAAGGTCACAGCTTTAAACAATTATCCTCAAAAGATCAGGTATAGATAAAATTATAAAGCATTGAAAACTAAAGCCTGACACGAGTTTGAGCAAGATCGTGTTGCCATGACTTGAATATTGAACTGATCGTCTTGAATGTTGGACAAGTTAAAAGACAGAGATTAGTACCATATTCTATAATTTTATTTAAGGCAAAATGGTTGACAAGGAACTCCTGGAGCTTCGTTCGAAGGCAGGCAGAACCACTGGGTGGTGGAGTTTGAATTGTTCTACAAGAACCGGTAGTTCGGTGTGAACTTCCATATCATCATCAGATGTCTTATGGGACCTGAATAAAATATTAAAAATCCCTAGACAAATGTAGAAGCTCCCTTGGCATGCTCCAAGCCATGCATACACTTGGTCCCTCCTGTGTTGATAGAAGAAATGCTACGGGAGGCATTTCACGAGGCTTTAAGTCTACGGGCAAGGAGGCGACACAAGTGTGGGACTTGCTGAGCCATTTCCAGAAGTGGTAAACACACAGTGTTCTTGTATTGAGCTCTTCCCATCTCCTACCAGCCTTGGGAGTGTACCCATTACCCCCAACACAGCTCCAATCAATCCTTACACTTTCTTAGAATTCAAGTAACTTATCATCTTGCTTATTAGTATCCTGTTCTTGGAAAACGCTAATTGTGTGCCTCAACTCAACAGCAAACGCCAGCGCGCGAGTTGAGGTGCCTCGCCACACAACAAGAAC